AAATTATTGATGATTTCTCTTTTCAACACCTTTAAAGACTGTGAATTCCAGTAAATACCAGTCGCTGCATAAAAAATTTAAAAAAAGTCCTTACTCCCATCACCCCTGTAGCCCTTGTACAAAACCTTAATCTGGTCCCTGAGTGAGATGATTTACGACAGAGATTTGAATATATTGCCTCAGATGATAATTTCCATGCAGAACTGAGAAAGCATTGTTGGACATATCGTATTTCAGATGAGATGCTAAATTGAGATTCCATCTATCCTCTAACATGAATACAAAACATTCCATAATTGAACAGGAGCAGCGGTATCCACCCAGTATCCTGGCTAAGCAATGGGTCATTTATCTCATTGCTCTTTGAGACTATACCATTTGCAACTGTTGTATTTTTCTACCTTACGACAACACCTCCTCAAAGATAATTAATTGGTTGCAAAATGCTTTGGGACTGCCTGCTATTGTGGAAGGTGACGGTATTGAAAGTTATTTGTTTCAAAGGTTTGAATTAGAGTAATTGGCTTAAGAACAGTACTGTAATATAGACCGTACCAGTTCTGGAGCTTAAGTCGGAGATATCTCTTCCTATTTCCATTTCACTGTAACTTTTATAGTTTTCTTTTCCAAGTACTTGTTTGAATTCCTTTAAAATATTATATTCTCTGGTTTCAATAAACCATGAAGAAAGAATTGCTTTGTATTTTCCTTTTTGTTCTTCCTGTAATAATCCTAAATCTGTGCCCCACTATCATGAACTTGCCAAACAGCAGAAAGAACTGATCCCCATTAACATTTTTAAATCACTCAGACTTTGCGAAAGCATTATTCAATCTTTTCACAATCTTTATTGCCCAGCAAAAGTAAACACCAATTTTTCAAAATTTTGTCATTCGTTTCTGTCTCCACCAAGAACACATCTTTCTTGGCCAGTTTATACCAACTTCTCCTGATTCCTTTGGCTTCTTGTCAACTCATTGACTCCATGACTATCTACACGTCATTCTAAAGTTTTAAAGCACGGAAAGAAGCCATTTAACCCATCATGTCTGCACCAGTCATCAAGCACCTATGGACTATATCCCCAGTTTACGGCGTTTGGCCTGTAGCCTTACGTACAATGATGTTTCAAGTGTTAATCCAAACAGGTCTTATATGTTGCAATGGTTCCTGCCTTTACCAACTTTTCAGGCAGTGTGGTCCAGATACCCACCAGCTTCTGGGTGGAAAAAAAAGTCTCTCTTAAATCCCTTTTAAACTTCCTGCCCTTATCCAAATCTATGTTCTCTACTGACTAATCCTTCTACCTAGGGGAAATGTTTCTTCCTATCTACACCCCTCATAATTCTGCATACCTCAGATCGGGTAAGGAAAACAACCCCAGCCTATCTAATCTCTCTTCGTTGCTGAATTGCTCCAGCCCAGGCAACATCCTAATTAATCTCTCCTGCATACTGTCCAGAATACCATATCCTTCCTATAGAGTGGCGATCAGTACTGCATACAATACTCCAGCTGTGGCCTAACTACACAGTTCCATCTTAACCTTGTTCTTAACCTTGTTAAATGCCACGACTAATAAAAACAAATATCCCATATGCCTTCTTAACTATCTTACCCACCTGCCCTGTCATCTTAAAGGATCTTTGGACACGTACACCAAGGTCCCTCTGATCCTCTCGACTTCCTAACATATTACCATTCATCATGTTTGCTGTTGGCTTGTTAGTCCTCCCAAAGTGCATCAACTCTCATTTTTCAGAATTAAGTTCCATTTGCTGCAGTTCTGTCCATCTGACCAACCCATCTATGCCTTCCCATAATCTTTGATTTGCCTTCTTACTATTTATCACACCGTCAATTTTCATGTCACCTGCAAACTTATTGATCAAACCTCCTACAATCATGTGTGGATCGTGAGTGTACATTCCAAACAGCAAAGGATCCAGCACGAAACCTTTCGGTACGCCACTAGACACAGCCTTCTATCACAAAACCAACGTTTAACCAAAGCTTCTGCCACTAAGCCAATTTTAGATCCAATTTAACCGAGATCCCATGGGCTACCTGATAGCAGCTCTTCCTATAAATAACATGTCACATCTGATCTTAAAACTCACCAATCAGGATTAACAAGAGCTGGGCTTTTCTCAAAAGCATTTGAAGTAGAGAGAGATTGTGCCTCAAATCTTTATTTACAACATCTATGTGATAAAGAAACATGTCCTTGTATATAAATACAAACCATGTCCCACGTCCTTGAATCATATCCAGTGACAAATATTGTGTATCTGATGATAATGATCTAAAATGGCTGCATGCCCACAGATTTTGGAACTTGCTGAAGAATAAATTCCAAATGATTCTTTACTGCCTCCTTCCCGTGACTTAGATATTTCCTCTGAAGGGCTGTTTTGACACTGCATATAATATTCCATGTCCTAACTCATACTTTGTACTAAATCAATTGCACTTTCTTGCTTTTAATAATCCAATGTTAGAATTCCATTTGTTTTTATTCTGCAGTCTTGTCCATTATTTAACCTTCAATTATTGGTTTTAGGTCTGAGGGAAGAAATACAGCTGAACGTTTGATCCTTAGCAAGGCTGGAATCAGAGCAGAAAGGGCAGAAATTAGCCCTACCAGCAATATTGAGAGATAGGAACATTGGCAGGCCATCCAACCCCTTTATCCTGCACTGTGATTGAGTTAGATCATGACTGATTTTAAGGCTTAACACCATCCACCCATCTTGGTTTCATAGTTTGAACAAAAACTTTTCTCATTGGAATGTAGCAGATTGAAGGATGATCTTAAAAGTGTATAAAATCATGATGGGCACAGATAAAGTGAACAGCAAAGGATTTTCCCTAGGTTGGGGGGAGTTCAAAACCAGGGGACATTTTTAAGGTGAGAGGAGAAAGATTTAAAAAGGGACCCAAGGGCTAACTTTCTCACACAGAGGGTGGTTCATATGTGGAATGAACTGCCAGAGGAAGTGGTAGATGCAGGTACAGTTACAACATTTAAAAGACATTTGGACAGGTATATGAATAGGAAACGTTTAGAGGGATGTGGTCAGCATGGACAAATTGGACCAAAGGGTCTGTTTCTGTGCTGTATGATTGTATGACTATTAATTGCCTTTTGGAAATGCTCAGTTAACTGTAGCCTAAACAACTTTTTGGAGGAAAGTGTTCCAGGCTTCAGCTACAGATACAGTACTCAAAAATCCAGCTGTGCGATAATGGGACATTTTTGTAATAGAGAGCTTTACTGTTTGAGCCATTGCACAACATTGCCTGTTTGAAAATACTTTCTCAGAATTAAACAGGAAGAAGTATGCTGAAAGTTTGATAATTGATATGCCCTCAAATATCAGGTTGCCTTTGGGAGCATGGGTGCTGGGTATCCTCAATCATGACCATCCACAAAGAGAACAATGAATCAATTTGAGTACAGGACATTGAGTAAGCAGATTGTTTTGAAAGACACTTATTGGTCAGGCACTACAGGTTGAATCCCACTCAGAATTAGCCCTGGCTTAACAGTGCAAGGAGTTGATCATTGCTTACACCCTCTATTTGCTTCTAATTGGCAATATACTATCACAAAGTAAAAAACAGTATATTATTAAACTGCTAACTGAAGATTGATATTGCATGTGGACTTGATGCAAATGCAATATATTAAACTCTGACTGACCCTATTGCGTGATAACAGGATGGGTTACTTCGAACATGCCAGCTTGAACGTCTTAAATCCGGGAAGATCCAAAAACTGGGATGATCACAATTCCAAGGATGTCAGACGTTTATCACTGTATGTATACCTGTACTTTTCAACATCAGCTTAAATGAGCTGGCTCTAATTTTAGTACTGTGTTCTGTTATACTGGATCTCACCTAACCAAAGGAAACAGTTTGGGTCCATCTAACCCATCAAATGCTTTAAACACTTCATAACTGTTCACCTCTTATCTTCAAGCCTCAATGGAGTACAGATGTGCATCTATAAGGCATGGTCAGTAAGTTTGCAGATGACACCAAAATTGGTGGCATAGCGGACAGTAAAGAATGTTATCTAAGATTACAAAGAGATCTTGATCAATTGGGTCAATGGGCTGAGGAGTGGCAGATGGAGTTTAATTTGGATAAATGTGAGGTATTGCATTTTGGTAAAACAAACAAGCGCAAGACTTATGTAATTTAAAGTAGGGCTTTGGGTAGTGTTGTAGAACAGAGACACCTCGGGATTCAGATAAATAATTCCTTGAAATTTGCATCACAGGTAGACAGGATGGTTAAGAAGGCATTTAGCACACTTGTGTTCATTGCTCAGACCTTTAAGTATAGGAATTGGGATGTCATGTCGAGGTTGTCTTGGACGTTAGCGAGGCCTCTTCTGGAGTACTGTGTTCAGTTTTGGTCACCCTGTAATAGGAAGGATATCATTAAGCTGGAGAGGATTCAGAAAAGATTTGCCAGGATGTTGCTGGGAATGGAGGGTTTGAGTTATAAATAGAGGCTGGGACTTTTTCACTGGAGCACAGATGGTTTATAAAATCATGAGGGATATAGATAAGCTGAATGGCAGGTGTCTTTTCCCTATGGTGGGAGTTTCAAAACTAGGGGACATATTTTTAAGGTGCAAGTAGGAAGATGTAAAAAAGACATGAGGGACAACCTTTTTACAAAGTGGTTCAAGAGTGGAATGAACTTCCAGGGGAAGTGGAGGATGCAGGTACAGTTACAATGTTTAAAAGATATTTGGATAAGTACATGAATAGGAAATGTTTGAGGGACATGGGCCAGGAGCAGGCAGGTGGCACTAGTGTAGGTTGGGACAATGGTCAGCATGGGCTGGTTGGATCAAAGGGTCTGTTTGCGTGCTGTATGACACTATGTCTATCTAGCTCACATAATATCATGCTTTTAGTCCCCAGTGTCACTGCTAAAGGTTTGGCAACAATTAATTTTTAATAAATGAAAGGCAGCTGTTGAACTTAAATAATAATGTTTTATTGTTGTAAAAAAAAGCACATTACGTGGACAATGTCAAACAGTACCTTTGTCATCAGTTTGGCTGTCAAAACTATCGCAGAAAAGAAACTGTACATTATATTCTTGTTTGTGGAGGTGTTAATAAAATTGGCAGCATTTCAGAAGACAAATAGTTACAATTATTACATTTCAAAAGTCTAGTTCAAGAAACATGTCCTACGTCAAGGAATTATCAACTACATAGTCATCCAGTGAAATTACAGTAGTTATTATGAAGTTTGAATATTTATCCACCTGATTGCTTAATATAATGGTTATTGTCTTTAGAAAGCCTGTGCCCATGCTGTTGCTTTGTACACAAAAATGTGACACTTTTACCATACAAAAGAAACAAGTTATATAATAGCAATGTGAAGGTAAGGAATGTTTTCTGCTATTTCCAAAGCACTCCAAAGGGTCAAAAATACAAACTTATTCTCTGCACGTACCTTTCATTCATTCCCATTATCACTCCTTAGGCTCTGCACTGTTCCTTTATTTAAGAAATATGAGAAATGATAAACACAAGACACGTTCATTCTATTATATTTTCTTTCTTCACCATTCTGCTTGTATACTCTCTCTCTATTCTCCTATCTTGTTCATTTAGGCACTGAAATTTGGGTATTCTTTGTTCTTCTGAGAGTTTAAAAGATGCACGAATACTTAGACGGGTTAACAATGGCACGTAAAGTGGTGCAGAGTGCAGTTAGCTGTGCCAAGAGTCCATATTAGAACATAATTCATTCTGAGCCCTATAGAAAGGAGATGTGAATAGAGGCTACTTTAACATTCAGCCCACTTCTGGCTGCTGTTACATTCCTAAATCAATTTAAAATAAACAGGTTAATGACTATTAGAATAGTGGATAGGATGGCCCAACATTCACAAAACAAGTGGCATCCCTCCGAAAATTATGCTTTACCTTAACTAATTTTTTTTCCCAAAATTAAACAACATTGATCATTCCCTCCAATTGTCCTGTCAAGTACTTCTGTACTCAAGGTGGATTTCCAGGTAAACTTCAAAAAAATTTACTAGTAAAATAAATCTCATTTTTACAAGTTGGATATGATTGAGTGATTCTGTCTATAGTTCTCTCAGTGGTGGTCTACCATTGACAAATGGCAGTAATGTTCCATCATGTGACCTCAGTTCTTCCCTCAGTGCCAAATAGATACATTCAAGCACCTCTACAGAATGTTGGAATTGAATGGATACTGATACTGCTCTGGAAAATGCAGTTCCTTACAGAACAGGAGTGATCCATGGGAAAACTTGTAATAGTAGGACTGGTTGCCAGCTTTTGCATTGAACAACGCCAATGAGACATAAAACAAAATCACATCTTATCAGTTCAGCACAGTCTTTACACTTGGTCAACAGTCTCCACGTGAAGAACACATTTGAATAATTCTTTCATAACTCCATTTAATTGTTGAGAATACAATATTCCTTATCTGAAAAGTCTGAACTCCAATGTACAACAGAAATGCTGTGTGAAACAGTTTTTCATTTGCGTTGGGCAACTGACTTCTGAAGGTCACATGGCAAAACCTGCTGTATGCTTGACTCAGTTTTGCTGCAAATGTCTTAATACTTCTTGCAGTGCAGCGTGTTATTTTGGTCTAAATCAGTCAGGATTCAAAAGGAAAATAACCAAAGGAAGGAACTGTGCATTCTCCAGTCGATGACACCAGTAAAAGATTTGTTTCATTACCAAAAGACAATATTATGTGCCCTCCTCTTACTATGTTTATGTTGAATATGCAAACATGAACGTCAGAATTAGACCAGAGTCAGGAAGCACACGCAGTAGCCCTTTGTTAATAAGGCCATGTACATCAGACATCAAAAAGTAAATTACAGCACATTACTAGCAAAATGTTACATTCTTGACCGTTCAATTATTGGAATGAGCATTCACACAGTTTACTGTACAGACTGGATTACTCCAGTAGCCTACATTTGAATTTCCTTACATCATACCAATAGAAAAATAAAGTGACGGTTTGCGTGTCTGCTACACATTGCCAGAAAAGCTGCTCACTGCTTTCAGCCACCCACTATCACTGCTTCCTCTTACCACTAGGGTTTTCCTATGTTTCTTGTGTCTAGTAATACTCAATGAAATCAAAATCCACATATCAGATAGCAAAACATCTAAATGCACGTGGTCTCATAATATCTAGCCAATTATCAAGGCACAGTAAATTTTTAAACTATATATGTATATTTTTGTATGTCTTTCAGCCACAAGAACTTTACAACACAAGTGCATGTGCACAATTAGAGGAAGGGACCCACAAGCGGATGAACAAGATGAGTGTCAAAAATGCTTTAATAATTGTACTGATATGTTCCTGGAATGTTCTTTAGAAAATGACCACGTTCTAACCCCTGACAAAAGTCTTTCGATAATCATGATACAATAAATAAGGAAAAAAAAATACACTTATTCCCCAAACCCCAAGACAGACAAAAAAAAATGTGCACTAATGCTCTATGTGCCATTATTTCATTGCAGCATGACATATTCCAATGTATAGATTTGTAAGGAATTTTTCTTACGATGTCCTGTAGTCCACAGAACTCTAATTATTAGTCAACTTTATTAATTGAATTTTGGACTCCATCCACCTCCCTTCCTCCCTCTACCAAGTCCCAGGATGTTCCTTCAATTCAGTAAAGGATCAAAAGCTCAATTTTGTACAATTGCAAAGTGAAAAGTCAGACATTATAATAAAATTGAAATGAGAACCAAAGTGGAACTATTTACTGCACAAAACATACAAAACTATTACTGCATGCTTTCAAAGCAAATGGAAAACCATACTTACTATCAATTTTGGCATTTTCTCGGCAAGTTTATAAGATCAATTTTGTTTGGCTGAATATCTGATTTTTTATTTCCAACTTGAAACAGGCAAAGTATGAAATTAATCTCATGAATGGGGCGAAGTGGATTTGGGATAGTTGGGGACGTTCTCATCAGTATACTGGAACAGAAACGTTCTGCAATTATACTGTGAACGGAATCCCCTTCCACGAAATAGCTGAGTTAAACTCAAATAAAGCAAGCTTTCTCTTAAGCTTAAAGGAGCAATACCAAAGAGAAGTTTCTCAAACCACAAAGTGACAATAGAGTTGCCAGAGAAAACCCAAAAGCATTGGATGAATGCAAGATTGTCACTTCCACAGTCTACAGTGTGTTCTCTATTACAAATATTTCCATGTTGCCCATTTCAACCATCACAAAATTTACCTTTTGCTGGTAAATAATGAGATGCAGAATTCACAGATTTAATTAGTAAAGGTTTTAACCACATCTCTCAACTCTTATCACCAAACCTCAGAGGGCGCTATTTCTCCAGAAAAAAACTGCACATTTCTTCTTAATCCATGTGCTCAATTTAGGCCAACTGCTCTATATTATGCCAGGCTTATGCCCAATAAAAAGTTAATTGCCCTAAGTAATGAAAGCCTGCAGACCATTCAGCCATGTGGCACTCTGAGCAGCGAACAAATGCAGTGCTCGGTGTAGCTAGTTGAAGCCAGCGTACTCGCAGTCCAGTATACATTAAGCACTCAGAAAATCTCGCAACGTTGTGAAAGACTCCTCAAATTTGAACTGTTTGTGCACTGCTGCTCGCTCGATTTCAATGTCCTTGTCCAACTGCCTACACAGGGTGTAGGAAGCCATGAGAACCAGTTCCTCGGAATCAGGGCTGTTCTGTTCAGACTCTGACTGCTCCTCCTCTGACTCGGTTATGGGTTTTGGCACCTCTAGTTTGGAAGAAAGCCATGGGTGGTCCAAACATTGCTCTGCTTTTGCTCGTTTCCTTTAATGACAAAGCAGAAAATTAATACAGATACTGTTGCATTCAAAACTTTGTGTTGCTTAATCTGTGTGCAGATTGAAGTTTACCAGAAAAATAAATCTTTTATTGTGATTTGCAAAATTAATTTGAACTCATTACATTGCAGATCCTTTGTAAAAGTAAATCCTAAACAGTTGATGCAAGGGCTTAGATTTTGCTGAATGAAAATTACAGTATGAATATTTCAGGTCTCCATATGACATTCCTTTGTTGGCTATGTTAAATGGAAGCATTCCTCCAAGTAGGCAGTGGATAAAGGAATTTCAGTAAAAAAATGTTGACATTCAAAGCATAATTTCATGGCTAATCTTTGTTTGAAACAGCATTTCCTTTTTCAACTGAAGTTAAATAGACCCCAATTAAAATATGGTGTGGATTTTTATTGTGTTGTTTTGAACTTTGTTTGGAGAAAAAACAATGTGACAAAATTCTATGACACATCAAGAATAAAACTAAGAGATAGTAGGAACTGCAGATGCTGGAGAATCCGAGATAACAGAGTGTAGAGCTGGATGAACACAGCAGGCCAAGCCCCCTGCTCCTATGATGCTGCTTGGCC